AACGCAGTACATACATTCTTTCTTAGTAAACTATGCTTGCGTTTGACAACATTGTCTTACATTGATTTTATTTTCTGTTTCCTGTTAGCTATATTTTATAGACAAACATGATTTTTTTTTAAACTGATTTGGACAGCATTCGTTTACAAAGAATGTTTTCTGTAAATAAAAACTTTGCATTTCAGCCTATAATTTGTCCTCTTTAAAATTACACTAAAATTATGTTTCTGGTACAAAGCCGTGCTAACTTGCAAATGAAAAATGTTTTTTTTCCAATTTTTTTATGCCACACAATGTACACGTGTGATCTACATATTGGGAGAATATGGGAGCTAAAATCTAAAAATTGGTAGACTTTTCTACAGATTTCAAACACTTCAGCAATGTTCATATATGATTCAGCTGTGTTTACAATTGTAGGTTGTAAGAACATTCAAGGTAAAAAAAAAATATTTTTTGAGTTATGACCACAGCGCTTTCAAAGATTATAACTAGGTATAGAAAAAAAAGGCACAGAAAACATTAAGAACATTGTTTGAGGGAATTTAACCAGGTATTAAAATTATTCAAATGAATCTTCTGGTTATGAATATTAATATAGTTTGAAACAGTTACATATGCAGTATATTAAAAACTAGAGTGCAAAGAAGATACTTGAAATTAGAAGTTACAGAACATGTTCTCAGAGCCCACTGGTGAAGCTGGACCCAAGACTCTGACAATAAATTTAGTATGTATGGTATGGCATTTAAATTAAATTATATCTCTATTCCCTTCCCGTTCCACAACGATGTCTGTGAACGCCTTCGCCAGCTAAACATCTTCACGTGGTCTTCTTTCACAGGTTCAGGATCATCATCAGTCCATGAAAAATGAATTAAACTGGAAGTAAGGATGCACAGATACCGGTTTTTCGGAAGTCCCATTAGCAGACCAGTAAGGATAGTCAATATATTTAACAAATATTACGTGTATCATGACTACATTGATACTGCACAAAATGCAGACTTTTCTTTCACAGCTTAGCTCATTGGCTCACTAAAAACTATTACTTTTTAGGTTTAACATCACACCCACACCCTGTGCAATGTGATATAATTCCGGATTATTAGTAGTTCTTTGCATAGAATGACAAGAAGCATCAGACAATTCAGTTTGTATCTGATATAGGTAGCAAGGAAGTCTCTGCTTCTGATTACCCAGAGATCTATGACAGGTAACCTAAACAAGGCCTTGTCACGATTTGAAGAGCATTGTACTGTCTTCACTCCTCAAATCTATAAGACACTTATTCATAATGCAGCTCTTCACAGTTACTGTGTATTCACCCCCTTGACAGTGCATTTTTTTTCTACACTTATTTACAACACTGTCAAAGTGAAAATCTCTGTTGTGATTTAAATTACAATTTAAAAAAACAATAATTAATAGCATAAGTATTCACTTACTTCAAGTCAATAGTTAGAATTGACAACTTAGGAAGCCTAGGTGGGTATGCTTCTTTCGACTTTCTTCTATAGCTAAACTATGTAATTGTTCCCAACTTCTCTTTGTAGAACTACTTAAAAAAACCCTGTCATAATATTAAAAATTAGAAGAAAAAAAAAAGATTATACTTACCTGTTCTACAGCCAATTCTATCTCTTTAAGGGCTATGATGCCTATAGAATCCTCTTAATCTGATACACCAACATAGTGTGATTCCTGGTCCCCTGCAAAGTACTTCCTTCCTCTGTTTCCTATGTCACTGTACTATCTTGTCCTGCAGTGACATAGGGGCCAGCAGAATGGCACTGGGAGCCAAACACATAGACTCAGCTGGTGATAACAGCTATTGGAAACTGTATATATGATAAAGCAGTATCGCTTTCACACCGATTATATAAATATGATCACATATCTAACTCCACCACTTTTTCTAGCTACACAAACTGCAATTTTCAGGTAATTTCAATGCCATTCAGCCCTTAATGGCAAAAAAGACCAAATGAACAATGGTTACCTATGACCAACAGTTTCTATCAGCACCATAAAGTTATTTAAATTGAGGATGGCAGGATGCCTTCATCAGTTTTGCTTTTGTAGCATTACAAAGTGATGGAAGGTCTTTAACATTGCCTTATGTTCCAACTCCTGGCTCCATGCCCCCTTCCACTGGAGGCACCCTGCTGTTTTTTCCCCCTTTTTTTCAAAAGTATACAGACCAGTCACGTAAGGCACAGTGTCTTCTCCCGGTGAAGGTGTCCTGAGTGATGCAACAGGATGATGACAGTGGCACTCTCATCATTATACTGTTGGTGCAGTGGGCCTTGATGATGCCCCTTCAGGGGCATTCCTTTATTTCACACATCCAGCTATTTCATCTTTCAGCTGAAAAAAGCCTTTTTGTTTACAGAACTCAAATAAACCCATAAACAGCAGCTTGGGAGATTTTAGTCAGACATCAATTGCTGTGCTGTTTCTTTGGCTAACTTATGGTGCTTGGGGAATCCTTTGTCGTGTATTAAATATTTATATGTAAACAAATATTGTAAATATAATAAAACACAGATTAAAACAATGCAATACATCGACCAGTGCTAGGAAGATCATCCATAAACCAGAACCCTTCAATGTGCATTAAAGTAGAGGCTGCCCCTATCCAGTGAGGGAGTCCAGAAGGCTATACAAAAAAAAACAAAAAACTAGATAATGCTCACTTTGTTATGATTAGTTACCTACTTGTCTTCCCAGTAACATAACATACTGCTGGCTATAATTGGTGGGATTTCAATCCTAGTGATCTTTGTGACTGGCTGTAGAGTAAAACAAAAAGCACATAGTGAGCTAGATCTTCTACGCTCTGGGGAAGGGGGTGTGTACCCAAAAACGCAATAAGCATTAGCAGTGGAACTCTGAGGAGAACAGAGCCTCCCGAGTGTCTCCATCTGTTACATCCACAGCAGCTATTCAATCAACAACTGTCAGTCCATTTTGATGCTTTTACATTCCACCTTATTTGTGAGTATATTTTTGTTTACTCTTTTATTGAATAAAAAGGTTTTACCTGCACCTGGTAAAAACACACCCAAAACCATTATACATTTCTCTTTATGAAACAAACACTGTTCTAGAGAGAAGTATCAGCGAGTACAGACACCCCTGTCTTCCATTAATTTGATAGTGGACACTTTCATACAATGTACCCAGGACCCACTAAACAAAGCTGTGCTCAGACATATCTAAGCACTTGCATCCAGGAGTCTGATCCATATTTCCTCCCAAATCCATTGGAAAATTTGCTTTTGACTAGGAATGCACCAATACCGGTATTTTGGTACCGAGTACCCATAATTTTTTTCCGGTACTCGCCGATACCATGAAAGTCCCATTCAGGAAGCCAGGTTGTGTGTAATGACTCGCCACCTAGCTTCCCGATTAGCCGGGAAGCGTGTAAAGACTCGCCACCCGGCTTCCCGATTAACAAGAAAGTCCGCTTACCTTGGCATGTCCAGCCTGTCACCCCCGGGGCCTCTCCAGCCAGAAAGCGACCTTCCTCCAGTACCCACCCGGAGCCGTCTGGCCAGCCAATCAAAAAGCCGGGCGCTGTGTAATGACGTGATGCCCTGCTTTCCGATTGGCCGGCTCCATGCTCCCTTGTCATGAGATGACGAGGGAGCATGAAGCCAGTTTCCCCAGCCAATCAGAATGCCGGTCGCTGCATCATTACACGCCGCCCGGCTTCCTGATTGGCCGGGAAGTCGGCTCCATGCTCTCTCACCACAAGTGACGAGAGAGCATGGAGCCGCTTCCCGGCCAATCAGGAAACCGAGCAGCGCGTCATTACACCTGATACAGGAAGTACTCGTGCTAGGCATCGGAGCATTTGGGCAAGTACGAGTGCTCGGTATCGGCACCGATATCGATACTAGTATCGGTGCATCCCTACTTTTTACTGTAGCACCATTAAGTTCCTAGACTTATTCTGGATTTACACAGACAAAGCTTTTCTGGATAATGATAATGTGAACACTGGGCACCAGAATCTGATTCTGCCATCAGATGCTGATGTGTGTTTAATAAGCAATGCATGATCAAAAACTAAAAATAATTTCTCAGAACTAGTGATGGCATTCCAAAATTTTTGAGCCCATTTATTTTCCCCAAGTGCTAACAATTCTGTGAGTTGAATTGGTTTAACTGGTCTGTCACACTTGTATCTTGCAACATTCAGATCGCCTTCCCTTATTTACTATGTTCATGTCCACTTCCAGGTGTTCCAGCTGTGTCTTTTGTGCTCCAGCATGTCCTGTTGCATCGTCCATAATACAATTAATCCAGCAAGAAGAGTGGACAAGATGGACACAGCAGGTGAGCATACCGAGGAATTTCAGTGTAGGAATATCACTAATAAAGCTCCTGAGAATATAGAAAGCGGTCAGGTGGTTTAACCATGCAGCATCTACCAAAACCTGAAATACCAGTTTTGGATGTGCTGACCCTTTAACTGGTGGTTTTTATCTATTACTGTATTCTTTCACTCAGCAATCCAACATGTGCATTTATATTATGATAAAGTCACTTTAATGTGAAAGAAAAATGCACCCTATATTTTCAGGGTTACATACATATTTGATGTCACAATTTCATTATTCCAAAAAAGAAAGTATACTATCAAAATAGTACAATTTAAACCTGAAGTGTAAATGAGGTTTCTATTGTTTAAAAACTTCCTCAGAGATGATTTAGGCCCAATCTTTCCCCAACCCCCCTTGTCTGCAGACTGAATTCCACGCAAACTGCATTCCGAGTGTAATCAGAATCCTTTGTTTAGTCTGCTTCTTTTTCAGATCCAACAGCAGATCATACTGCATGCAATTCTGATATTGTAGTTATTCTGGTATTCTAGTCTTCATGATTGATGACCAACCCCCTGGAAGTTCATGTACGTTTCCAAATGATCTGAAAACAGTTGATTGATAGGGGAAATGCCGTTAATGTTTTACACATGCAAATGCCATCCACAAGTGATGATTATGGTGGGCACCCATCATGTGCCCCAACAGCCATGTGTAGCCAGTAGTCTTCATTGTTGAAGATGACAAAGCTGTACAAATTTTCACCACCTTTATAAAACCCATGTTCACTTTCCCTCCAGGATACTGGACTGTCTGCAAATCCATGCACCATGAGGGATGCCCACTGGCTCAACTTTGGTTCATCAAAATATTCCCTGAAATAGAAATATAGAAGTGTAAATATAGAGCCAACAACTTCTTTCTCACATAAAATGTGAGTGTGTGTGTGTATATATGTATGGGTGTGTAATTATATATATATATATTATATATATATAATTACACATACATACACACACACACACAAAATCATCTTTCTTTTGCTTTCAAAGCTTAACTGAACAAACTGAAAAGAGAAGCGGATTGATTACTATGAGCAACAGCTCCAGTTATGATAAAGGTCACCCAATGAGATCAATATCTTAGAACCGTTTTTAGGCAAGAAAGGCTTCCTGCCAGTAGTAGTACAGGACTTTGAGAAGATATTCATACAATATCTACTACATGGGCTTTTAGTCTTTGAGAAATTATCTTCTCAAGTTAAATTAGTTGAAATCCACAGATATTTATAGGGATTACTAAAATGTACATGGCAAGTCTGATGCCAACAACTGTAACTTTCAGCCCAAAGGAAGCCTAAAAAGGTTACATGTTGTAATTTTACATTTTGGGATAATTATTCTAGTTTCCTGCCAAGCCAACTGGTATATGGATAACTGCAGTAACATGAAATGCTCATGTTAGCGACTGTCTGTAACATCAAACATTCAGCTTCTGTTAACTGAATAAATAGGTCTTTGACTCTTTTACTACTTCTATCACAGGCCTTAGATTACCATTCAGCTATAAGCAGATTGCTCAAGCTGACTAAAGCTGGCCATACACCTTACAATTATCTGCAGATTTTCTGTGGTCAGATGGAAAAGGTGCAACAGATTCCTCCATCTACGCTAAACTGTGTGGATGGAGTAATCTCCACTTGGGCCAATCTGTTGCACTTTTTCCATCTGACCACAGAAAATCTGCAGATAATTGCAAGGTGTATGTGCACCTTTAGTGTCTGTTGCAAGGGCCCTCCCTCACTGAAAATGTATGAAGCTTTGCATGAGAGAGATTTAACTTGCAGTTTTGAATGGCACGGCGAGATGTGTCCACAGACAGTGATTTTTGGAAGTATTCCTGAGCCCATGCAGTGATGTCCATCACAGAATCATGCCTGTTTTTAATGCAGTGCCGTCTGAGGGCCAGACGATCATGGACATCCAATACTGCGTTACGGCCTTGTTCCGCACAGAGTTTTCTAAAGATTCCCGGAATCGTTTGATGATCTTATGTACCGTAGATAATATATTTAAAGCCTTTGCAATTTTACTTTGAAGATTATTCTGCATTGTTCAACAATTTTTAGATGCAGCTTTTCAGATTGGTGAACCTCTGCCCATCTTTACTTCCGAGACACTCTGGCTCTCTAAGATGCTCTTTTTATACCCAATCATGTTACTGACCTTTTGCCAATGTACCTTTTGCCAATGTACCTAAAATAGTTGCAAAATGTTCTCCCAGTTCTTCCTTGATAGTACCACTTACTTTTTGCCAGCTTTTTGTTGCCCTGTCCCAACTTTCTGGAGATGTATTGCGGCCACCAATTTCAAAATTACCTTATTTTTTTCTTAAAATGGCACGTTTTCTATTGTGAATAAAATACCAGTTGATGAGATTTGCCAATCATTGCATTCTGTTTTTATGCAGATTTTACACAGCTTCCCAACTTTTGTAGAATTGGAGTTGTACTCTAGCGTGCAGTATTTTCTTTTTTTATTTTCAATTCTACTTGGTGTGGTATCCAGCAATTTTCTATAGCGATCAATGGTAATGTAGATGTGTTGTGCTGCATATGAAATAAAAGCCATATCTTGCATCATGCATTTTACCATTGGCAAGTGAGACAGTCCGTCCTAGTTTTGGAGTTTGACTTCTCTAGGATGTGATGACGCTAGGTCCAAGATTGTCTCTTAGCAGTGGGGACTTCAGACTTTTGCAGATATATGAAGCAACACAAGATGCACTTTATTCCCGATAGCAGCTTTGTAAACAATTTGAGCAAAGTAGTGTCAATAGGCCCTGTAGAACATGTCCACTAAATACATTTTACTAGGTAATAAAATCTTGAATGTATCAGCCTTACCGAAGCTGCTGTAACAACTGCATTATTTTTGCTGGTGTTAGGAACCCAGTAATAGTGCATACATAAGCTCTTTCTACCAAGATATTTGGATCTGGACAACAACAGCTTGATATGAAACTGGATGCCCGATTGTTGCTGAAAGTGGAGAAAGGAAACCATTAACATATGCTTTACACAGTAGTAGTATTCAATAAGGCAGAAAGCACAGTAAAGTAACCCACAGCAACCAATAAGAACTTATAATTCATTCACCTGACTTCACTAAACTGAACGAGGTCTACCTTGGGTCACTTCACATTGTGCTACCTTGCCATTTTCACAGGACTCATTGTGACATTACAGATCCCTGGTCGCAGTTATTAATCCATTCTCCCTTCCCGACTGATGATTGGATCAGTTCGTTAACGGCTGGTGATGGGATAATTCCGTCATGCGGTACAATGAGCACTGGGACCAGCAGCTCATTGAGTTACTGCTGTTTATGGGTCCCTCGGGGCCTGAGGCAGACCCTTAAGAGCAGATTAGGTGGTCACAGTTTTGTGATCACAGCCAGAGCTGATCACTGTGATCGCAGAGCTGTAACAGTTACACAGCTGGCAGCAGCTCACTCAGTTGTGCAGCTGGAGCTGGCTGTGTGTTTACAAATTGATACCAAGTATCTCCCAGCAGAATACAGTATTCTACTCAGAGATACTAAGTATCAAAAAAAAAAAAAATAACACCTAGTTTGAAAAATATAAAGTTTTGAGATTTTTTACAAATTCAAAAATGTCAAAAAAGTAAAAAAAAATAAGTTTAATAAAATTTTTTATAAGAAAATATAGTGCCAAGGAGGCCATTAAAGATAGGAGACAAACATACCACATTCTAAAATTGTTCCACACTACAATTGTACTTTACTCCTTACTTATGTCTTTTGTGACCTATAACTCCCAAAATAAACTGAAATCCCAGACATATGATATACCCTATAAATCAGGACAAATATAAGTAGGAGTGCAGATTGCAGGCTGAATGTAAACAAAGTAATGTATATCCTGGACCCGCAATGTAAACTTTCAGAGCACAAGAAAACAAAAAGGCAGAGGTAAGAGGGTTTACTTGCAAATTAGTTGGTATCCCTGGATCTATTACATTATGGACTTATCCTTTAAACACTGCTCACTTTACACAGATAATTCAAACTGCTAAACATTTTTTGATCTTTATTTTGCTATTAAGCTGATGTGAGAAATACCACAGTACCTACCAGTCAATGTTACTGCTTACAGCACCCAGCCAATCGAACATCTCCACAGCACTACAGGATTCACCCGCTTTTGCATGTAGTTCTCTGCTTTTCAATACAGGACAAGGAACATCCTTTGAAACAACAGAACTGATCTTAAATGGGCACTCCTTGACAATGTATTTTGAAAAATAAGTCTTTATAGTAGGTGCTTCTGAAAAAAACAAGAACACATTCATGAATGTCTCACTTTGAAAACAAGGATATTGATGTGTTTAAATGTATCAAGACAATGTATTGAGTGATAAACGACCACAATCATTCTGAGTCATGTTAACATTAGACCTTGACCACATCTCAATACATTACCTAAAATCAATGGTTATAGTGACATTAATCTCAGGAGTTAAATCTTAAAAATGGATTAAAGTATCCTAACTATTAACAGAATGTATGCTATTTGTGTATTACTCAGCTGTAGATCCTCAAATCATCTCTGAATTGGTGCTGACACTGTCCTTCCTTCTGGAGGGTGGCTACTTTTGTTTTCCATGGTTACTGTGTGTGTTGTAAAGTAGCCACCACTCCGAGGTCACTCCCGTGATGGACTACAGTCTCACGTTTAGTTTACCAATTTGTATTGAGATTATAGTCCATCACAGGAGTGAGCTTGGAGCAATGGCTACTTTACAACACACACAAGGACCATGGGGAACAAACATAACCACCCTCCAGAAGGGAGCCACTGTGTCAGCTCCAATTTAGAGATGATTTGAGGATCTACAGCCGAGTGATGGAGAAATAAGGTACAGCATTTGTTAAAAGTTAGGGTACTTTTTAAAGATTTACCTCCCAAGTTTAGTGTCACTTTAAATTGAATGTTAAAATGCAAAATGCTTTTGAACCCAGCATTAACAAAAACAGCAATAAAAAAAATAAAAATAAAATAACCAGCCACAGCCACAACTGTTATTTGCAAAATACCTCATTCCTTCTTCGCAAGCAGGGATCTAAAATGATTGCCGTTTGGGAGCTTAACTAAATTACAACGCTCATCCAGGCAAGTCTGTCTAGCTCAGCCGGGAAAAGCAAGTCATGGTGCTACATTAAAATGCTCAGGTAGTGCATCTCTGAAGTTGTGGCGTTATTGCTTTCTATTTCTATTAAAAATATAGAAGTATACAATATAAGTCCTGAGTGCTGCTTTCTATAACTATTTTAATTCTGGCATTAAAAATACACAATAGCAGGGGTACACTGGGACAGTGGCATTTATTTGTTGTTTTGTTGTGTTACGACTTTTATTAGATTGTTACATCCTCCTTTAGCAAAAGAAAGTGGAAAACAAAAAAACTTATAAGAGCTATTAAAGAGCAATTAAAATTATAACTAAAAGCCTGTATTCTACCCAGTTGCACTTTAAAACAGTATGCTCAATTTTTGCCCAATCTCTGACTAACTTGTGTAGATTTATTAAACGTATTATTGATATTAAATGTCAAACTCTTTCGATTACAGGCTGACCACTATTCAGGCACTGTCAGAAAAGGGCAGCCAGTGCCGAGAGTGAACATTGTTGCATACCATCTCCAGCTCAGAGCAACTACACCGGCATTGTCACACGCAGATACTCTATGTTCTTTGATAAGCTTCAACTGCACAAGTAAAGACTGTCACAAATGTATATATTACAGAACAAAACATATTGCTTAAAGTGAAACAGACCTGGCCGAAAAATCAACAAAAGATGACAAATTGTGGTCCTTTTACATACCCGTGTAAGGCTTTATTGACCTAGGCCACATATAAAGCCTAAAATTAGAATTAAGCTCCACCTCCATGATGCCAAGTCTATCCATGTCATTCAACAGTTAAATGGCAGTGCCCAGCGGGTAAATTTGAATGATAGAGACAGAGTTTAGCATAAAAAAGATGGAAGTTAATCCAAACTTAGGCTCTAGGATCCAAGTGGACCCGCAGGGATTTATCTGAAGGTGCCACATATTGCTTGCATGCAAACATTATTGTTAAATTAGGCACTTTGAAAGACAGTTCAGATTCAGTGCACATTACAGATCTTTAGTTAGGAACATCTGTTGCTAGCTACTTTAACATAATGCACTAGTTATTCACCTGCGTTATCCCATGCTAGAAGGAAATCAAACTTCAGAGGCTTCTTCTCAGTAAAGGCCCATCTCACACGCTGGTGTTTTTTGCCATCCAGGGAGAGAGCCTCCTCTGTCAGATCTATATTAACAACTGAAAAAAAACCATATAAAGATGATGATATGCAACAAAAGATATACTGATAGGCTAGAAGACAAAAATAAGATAATGAAACTTACTATATCTCATTGTTTTTTTTCCAGAATACAAAGATGGCTTGCCCTGCAGACCTAACTCTTCATACGTGTCTTTATCTGCTGATATAATAAGCTTTCCTAAAAGTAAAACAAAAGCACTGTTAAGAATGTGTAAAAACATATATACAGCATGTGTTTCTACTTTTAAAGAGACATTTCAGGCAACAAGCAAAATCGGAAAACACTGCAAGTCTTGGTGCAGTCAGAAAATCCTGTTTCCTCCTCATCAACTCCTTTCTCAGGCTTCATGCATACTCCATATGTGTAAAAATAGCCTCAAAAGCATTTTGGTATATCTGTTCCATAAGTACAAAGATGTACTATTGACCCTGCCAGAAATCTTTTGTGTGTTACATTGTTCTCAGTTATCTCTGAACTACAGAACACTTCCCCCTACATTATGAGGAAAAAGGGGGATATATTCTGTAGTAGTTCTAGGGTGACATTTCCAAACGAGATCAGGTTTTCTTTCAATAAACGGCCAGTTGATGGGAAGTGAACGATCACAATTACTGTATAACTTGCCAAATTTCCTTGATCGGTCAGGCCAGAAAAGTTTTTTCGAATCGTATGAAAAAAATCAATGGATTAGTGGCGTTTTTGCCCGAAAAAAACCCAGCAACATGAACACTACATGCGCAAACGAAAACCAGCTCTGTCGAGCGACAAAATTCGGCCAGTTAGTATTGCTAACAAAACGATAATCGAAATCTACATTGGTCTGTGCATGATGGGGTCTGTGCATGATGGGGTATTCCAGCACAAATCGAACAGGGGTTCGATGATGGGACGAAATAAATCGAATGATAGTTGTAAGGTGTATGTCCTCCTATAGATCTTTGCATAACAGTCTCCAATCTCTAATTAATCTTGCAATCACCTACCCAAAATTGCAAGTGAAGATGTCATGTACATATACACACCAAACATGCTGCATATCCTTTGCTAAATGTGAGGCAGTCTGATTCTGTCAATAATTTGCTTAAAAAAACCTTCATAATTTAAAATAAATAAAACAATGAATCAAATTGAAACGATCAAACTGAATTTTGCATTAAACAAAACAAAAGAAAAAAATGTAGTTTACCTTCAATGTTATTACATTTTAACTATCACATTTTATATTGCCTATTTAGAAATCTCAGAATGCACATTACCTGTTGGCAGCAGAGCTGCAACATTATCCTGATCAATTCTTGTGTTGTATGAAAGGGCATAAAACAAACCTGCAAATCAAGAAGGGAAAAAGTAGATCATCCATCCTGTGAACAGCAGGAGATTAAAAGCTGGGTTTACTCTATACTGTAAAACTTTAGTGCTCATCTTAAATGCATGTTTTACCACCTTTTACTGGGCTTATATTATATGGTAAGATCAGATTCAAAAGCTAAGAAAAATTCTTCTTTAACTACTTCAGCTGTCATACCGGCATACACCTTATAAACCAGAGTCTTTTTTACATTTTTGCTATGGGCTCTTGATTAGGTGACAACTTTGTCATTACTTAAGATAACAAAGTTATTTATTTATACATTATACGAATTCTAATCTATTGACAAAATGTAACAAAATGAAATACAAATGTGCCTTTTTTCTAGTATGATCAGTGTTAGATTTAAAGCAACATTTCTGTAGATAAGAATGAAAATTTTGTTCTATAAATTTGTTCCTATTGAAATACAGTATATATTTAATTTATAAAAGGCACAAAATTATATTTTAATAAAAAGCATGGCAAAGTTAAATAAGTCCTTTTTAAATCAATCTCGCTATTTATTTTTGAAGTGCGCTAT